GTGATACATTATAAAAGCAAAAGTGATATTGCAGATGTAATTAAGGTTACAGTCTTCAAAATAAGAGAATTATTCTGGATTATCCAGATAGACCCCATCTAGTCCCCCAAATCCTTCAAAGCAGAGAACTATCCAGCTGGAAGCCGCAGAGCGATGTGGCAGACAGGAAGCCGGAGAGTTGTCAACTAAGCATGAGAAGGATTCATTGCAGCGTTGCTGGCTCTGAGATCCAGGGACTCGGTGTCAAGGACAGGAGCGAGGTCTCAGGAGTGGTCCACAGCTGACAATCAGCAGGCAAATAAAGACGTCAGCCTCACTCCCAAGCACCGGACTGTGATGACAACCTGAATGAGAGCTTGGAAGCAGATTCTTCCCAGAGCATTCCCTTAAAAAGCCAGCTGATGACACTTCGATTTCAGCCTCGTGAAACACAGCAGAGCAGGCAGTGGAGCCCACGGGCTTCTGACCCACAGGACCACGAAAAATAGGCTGTGTTGTGTTAAGCTACCAACTTTGGGGCCAGCAGATAGCATGGTGATTAAGGCGCTGGAATCCCATATGGCTGACTTGGTTTGAGTCCCAGATCTGGTGGCTTGTTTTCTCACTTTCCTGCTCTCCGGTCAAAATAAAAAAGAATAATAAATTAAATAAAAATAAATCATTCTTAAAAAAAAAAAAAGCTGCCAAGTTTGTGATTGTTTGTTACGGCAGCAATGGAAAACGGTGCAGTTATTTCCATGTAGCCCGCAGTGATGGCTTCTTGGGACTGTGCTTACATTTTAGAAATCTCCAGATGTCTGCATGTCTCGCCCTCTCACTTTGTAAGAGGGAGTCAGGATGGTTTAGTCTGGCTCCATTGTAAGAATAGAATTAAACTGTGCCTATCCTGTTTTGTAAAGATAAAGTCTAACCTTTGCCTCGCTTCTGTACTAAAGCTGATGCCGCCCTCATGATAAACTGCTGAAGTTGTGGAACCCCGGGGCAATTCGCTAGCTCCCTGTAGGAAGCCTGGAGCCATTTGCAAGTTAGCTTGACACCTTGTAGGAAGCCCAAAGCCATTTGCAAGTTAGCTTAGCACCCGGACCCTTGTAAAACTGCCCCCCCCCTTCTGCTAACCCCGAAAACCCAGATCAGATGTCACTGCAAATCAGACCTAGTTGCAACATCTGCAAAGAGAAACATTTTTGTCCTGCTTGAGCAAGCAGCTTCAGGGTCGCCATAAAATTACCCTAAAAGCCCCTTATCTTACTTCCTCATTCTTTCCTCCCCTCACCCCACGGACTTGTGTCTATATAACCTGAATGCCCCTTTGTTCGGGGCTTCACTCACTAACGTGTCTTGCATGACCGAGAGTGGAGTCCTAGCACGCTAGTAATAAAGCCTCTTGTATTTTGCATCAAGAACCGACTTTGTGGTTGATTGGGGTCGCCGTAACACTCCCTGGACAAGGAGGATCAGTCGGTTGCCGGTTGAAACCTTTCACCATCACTTCCTATCTTACCATATTTGAAGGCCACAGGGTAAACAACTTACATATTAGGTGTACTGCACTTGGGCACTTGTTATGTAATTACGACTTTGCTGTTTTACACCATTGCATGTAACATGCAAGTGCATGCACTTCCCCCTTCTCTTAAGAGAAGGGGAGCACTGGCCCTGCTAGCCCTGCTCAGCCAGCTCAGCCCTGGTGGCCTTGGCTGGGCTGGGCTGGGCCTTGGCTGGGCTGGGCTGGGCCTTGGCTGGACTGGGCTGGACCTTGGCTGGGCTCCAGCTCCATGCACTGTGAGCTCTGAGAAGGAAGAAGCGCTCTGTGAGCATTCTTCATGTGCATTGTAAGCTCCAAGAGGAAGGAAGCGCTTGTAAGCCTCCTAAGAGCTCTGTGAGCTCCCCCCTGGACTCAGTCGATAAAGACCATGACATCGGTGCCTGGCGTCCTTTTCCAGTTCCCTGTGTCTCTGTGTGACCCACCCTTCAGAGGAGGAAAGGACCTCACAAAACCCACCTCCTTCAAGTTGTTGCTCGCAACTCTACAGATCTACCCAGACCTCCTGATTCAGTACTACCGCATCCCGTGCGCCCGCTCTGACACTCTGACCCTGCTCGCCCTGGTCCCCATAGCTTATACCACTTTCTATCATCATAGGCAGTTTGGCGATTTCTTGTGGGTCATCCTCATGGCCTGTTTCCCTCCTCCACTCCCTTCACTACATCAAATGTCATTTTGATAAGGGCAGAGATCTCTGTTTATTTCATTTGCTTGAGTGCCCCAGGCACCTAAAACAGAGCCAGGCCCATAGTAAGGACATAAATCTCTACTAGGGAATGGGCTGGGGGCAGCCATTGGGGGGCCCTCTGGATTCATAGGAAGACAGTTTTGAGCCAGCCTGTGTGGCCAAGACTTGGTCAGTGAGGGCAGGGGGTGGGAAAGACCTGGCTTTTCTTTTCTCACCTGTTGGAAATAAAGTGGAAATTGTGCTCTATAGATGGGTCCAGAAAGTCCCTTTCCTGTTGGGTCAGGAAAAGACAGAATCTGCCCTGGGGTCGGGGTTCAGGGAGGATAAACCCTGGTGCTGAGAGAGGGGCTGGATTTGGGAAGTCCACCCTAGTGGCAGCCCTGTCCTCGGGTGCAGAGGGAGGGAGGGAGGAGAAGGGGCCCTGGCGAGTGGGGAGGGAGTCCTGCCGAGAAGAAGGTGAGTGGTCAGAAGATTCACAGCCTCTGGGAAGAACAGGGTAGGTGCTGGGCTGGTCTGAGTCAGAGACTCTCCACATAAGGAGCCTTGGAGTTGGGAGCCTGATGGGTGATGGGGCCACAGCTGTTCATCGAGCTGGGTGTTCAGAGAAGCAAGGGCTAGAGGCAGCCAGGGACCATGTCAGCCAGGAACCATGTTAGTCAGGGGCCATGTCAGCCAGGGGCCATGTCAGCCAGGGGCCATGTCAGGACCTTGGAAAGAAACAGGCACAGAGACTGAGGGACAGGCAGACCAGCATCCCTGCCCTGAGAGGCGCTATGACTTTGCCCAATTCTCCCCACTTCTGTGAACTTTCATGTCTTTTTCTTTGGGGGGGGAGAGGTTTTTGCTACAGGGCGCGTGCTCTCACAAGACTGACAGAGAGAAACAGAGAGACAGAAAGCGAGAAATCACCCCCCAGGAGGGATGGCCACACCGCAATCCCTTCTCCTCCATTCTCCTCTCGGGATCTTGGGCACACACGCACATGCGCCTGGCGTGAGTTTTAAGCCACCAGGTCTGAGACGCGAACTGCAGTCGACTACATGGGAGTCCAGCGACATAGCCATTACGCTAACTGCTGGTCCCAGCTTTCATGTCTTCAACCCCAGGGTGGAACAATGATATTCCTTACCCTACTTTAGTGTCCACTCTTCCACAGCACGCATCACCTTCTAACCCCCAGAACAATGTCCTCATTGGGTTCATTGCTTACTGTCCCTCTCCCGGTTAGGGTAGGACTTTCTGTCTCATTACCTGCTGTGTCCCAGCTCTGAGGACGTACAATAGCTGCTCAGGAAATAGATGCTGAATGACTCTTAGTAGTTCTGGCTGCAGTAATAAAATACCATAGACCGGGGGCTCATACACCACAGAAATATATTGCTCACAGTCTGGAGGCTAGAAGTCTGCGATCAGGGTTCAAACCCAGAACATCGGCTAACTTCATGCTCTTAACCACAGAGCCTCCTCAGAAGCAAAGCCAACATCCTCTCCGTGTTAGAGCTGAGGCAGCAGCCGCTAGAGAGAGACACTCACATGCCCAAGGCCGCGCAGTTAGCGTGTGGGGGAGACAGGATTCGAACCTGTGTGGTCTGGCTCTGGAGCCAGCTGGCTGGGCTCATGCTCCCTTGGGGCACATACCTGGAGATATCTGTAGCCAGACTGGAACCCAAGTAGGGGCAGGAAAATGAGGCAGCTGGGTGAGTCACGATCTCTTCCCGACGAGGCCAAGTGGCCCCTCATGCCCTATGTAATAGTTCTTGAGTTTGCAAAGCCTCTTGCTGCCTCTCTTCTGGAGCCACTCGAACTTCTTTCTGTGCTTCAAACTCAAGGCTCCCCCTGGTGCACACAGATATCTTCCAGGCGTCAGCTCTGATAGTCCCTCCTCCCTAATCGACAGGCTGAATCAGTGCCTTCTCCTCTCAAATTTCTCCATTCCAGCCCTGTCCACTCAGGGTTGTCCTGTCACTCAAGATTGACAGGACTGGGTCCCCAGTAGAATGTAAGCCTCCATGACAGGCCTGAGACAGTCTGGGTTTCTGTGGTGTCCCCAGCACCACCAGGAGCAGGGATTAGTACAGAGGAAAGTCCAGTGAGTGATCATTAAATGAGTGATTAAACAAACGGACACATGGATTAACCATAGTTTCCTCCCCGCTCAGTCTATCATGGTAAATTTGGTCTCTGTGTAGCTCCCAGAGATCAACAGCTTGTCTTGCCCAAAGATAATATTAAAAATAAATATTGGGCATTTATTATGTTTTCCAAGTCTTAGCACAGAAACCCCCTCCTCCAGGAAGCTCTCCTTGCTTCCTCACTCAGACTGTGATAGGCTCTCCTGGGGAAACCCAAGCCCTGCCCAGTTTGTGCTTCTGGCTTGTCTGACTGCAGGATCCGCATCACAAGCAGGATCTCAGCTCATTTAACATTGGTAGGCTTGGCCCTGGGTCTGCTTTGACTAAGCGCTTGATAAAGGGCTGTTGTTTTTATTGTCATTATTGTGGCTGGCTAATTATCAGTGCTCAGTTCCTGGTCACAGAGTTCCTGTTCTCTGTACTGGGCAGAGAAGGAAAGTGAGCCCCAGGGGTGGAAGGCAGAGGTGGGGGTCAAAGTTCCTTCCCTGCCACCGCCCCTGTCCTTGGACCTCTGTCATTGCAGTGGGCAAGAGGGAAGAGGAGGAAGCTGGAAACGCCACAGTGGTAGGGAGGACAGTCAGTCTGTGCCTGCGAGCTGGGAGGACAGATGGTCGGCCTGGCTGGCTGAAACCAGGGGCCGGGATCCATGGGACCTGCTAGCTGGCGGAGCCACCACTGGGCAGGAATCCTGCTTGCAGGTGAGTGCCCACTTCCTGGGGTGACGGTGGGGCGGGTGGGTGGAGAGGGGTGCCCATTCGTCGGCAGTGTGTGTATGTGTGTGTGTGTGTACAGAGAGAGACCAATCAGAGCCAGAAAGAAAAACAGACACATAGAAGGACGGACAGAAACAAAAAAGACCAATGAAAGGAGAAAATAAACAGAGACCAGAGTCAAAGGGAGAGGCATCAGAGAGAGAGAGAGAGAGAGAGAGAGAGATGGAGTCAAATCTACAGACTGAGGGAGATCCAGGGAGAGAAACCCAGGGAGACAGAGATACATAGACAGAGACAAAGAGTGAAAACAATATAAACTATCCTGGGGGAACCAGAGAGAGAGAGAAATCAGACAGAAAGGGAGACAGGAAACTATACAGAGACATACAGAGAGAAATGGGGGGATTCAGAAGGAAAGCAAGAGACTCAGAGAGAGGACCAGCAGTTAGCATAATGGTTATGTCGCTAGACTCCCATGTAGTCGACCGCGGTTCGAGTCCCGGACCCGGTGTCTTAAACTCACGCCAGGTGCATTGTGCGTGCGTGCCCAAGATTCCGAGCGGAGAATGGAGGAGAAGAGATTGCAGCATGGCCATCCCCCCTCGGGGGGGATTTCTCACTTTCTGTCTCTCTATATCTCTCT